TGCGCCGGCGTCTCCCGCCGCCTCCAGAGAGCCCCGTCACTCCGACAGACATGTTCCGTGCCTTGTGTCTCCTTATCGCGGTTGCCGCGGTGCGCGCCTGCAAACCCTGTAGTGAGTCTACTACCTTTACAATAAACATAATTTACATTTATTATAATGTAGCCCTTCAGTGAGTGTCTACCCTTTACATATAGGTTATTTATTTCGTATGTGTTTTTGTGATGTGTCAAAAAGCGCGGGAAATTGTGCGTAAGGTATGGTTGCGGGAAAAAATCTTGTGATTTACACTTTTCAAAATCTTTTTTCAAAATTTATTCGGTGAGTATTTTCTACGATTAATAATCGATTTGTTTTTTTCGATAAAAAACAATGCAAACGAGTTTTAGGAATAAACCTTTCTCTAACTTCCATTGATGTCTGATTGTTGACATTTTGACCCGTAAACTGTATAGATATAATTTCTAATAGCGACTCAATTGATGTGACTCTGCATATCAGTTCCTTATATTATGTCATAAAACATGTGTTAAACATTAGAGAGTACGCACTTGCGTTACAGAATCGCAACATAGTTTAAACGGGGACAATCTTGTGCGCAGTATTTTTTTCATATGAACGTTTCGTTAAATACGTCATTTATAAAGGAAAGTGAAAACGATCTGTTAATAAAATAAGACATTTAATTGACCATTAAAATTATGCGTAAAAGTTTTAGATAAGGTTAGGTTACAAAGTTTATGTAAACAATTTATTATTTAGTTATTGATTCATTAAAAAGTAAAATCTTTACCTATGGTTGGTTTTCTTTATTAGCTTTACGTATAGTCGTATTCCATCTTTCGGACTGACGGACAGTTTTTTTTTTAAAGATAAAGTGTGTGATATGGCTTAACTACTGACCTAGTTAAAATAATTATTTCACTACGTATGTATAATAATAATTAAAAAATAAAGTAACAAATTTCAATAGCTACAAGAATGCATTTTGTTCGTTTTAATAGGGACATATATTTATGACCTACTAGCTGTTGCTCGCGTCTTTGTTCGCGTGAAATAAAAAAAAATAGTAAAAACTTAGCCTACTAAGTAATAACATAGCTTTTTAATTACCAGTAGTTTTTGAGTTACTTCAATAAATACAAATCTTTTCTCTTTAATATTAGTATAGATAATTACTATACAAATTCCTTGCAAACTTTTTCTGTATGAATATATTTATATGTTATATACGGTGAGTTAAATACGCGTTAAGTCATCATCAACCTGCGCTTGTTCCTACGGAGGATCTGCGAAGTATATACTGTTCCATACATCAGTCATCATATTATCTAACTAAATAATGCTAATAGTCCCTTTCCCGCGATTTTCTTAAGAGGAAAGGATGGGAAGGAAAACGCGATTTGTAGGAAGAGGAATCGCATAGGAAAATATACTCTTTATGTGCGTCTCCTCTGTCGATTAAGGGTAGATAATAGGCAGTGGTCGCTTTGCCATTTCGGCGGATGCTGGTGGTCACTTGCTCGTTTGCCAACTTATTATTATAAAAAAAAACTTATCACCCACACGTTTTGTCGCTGTATAAAAGATAGTATTTGTCTCACTCACGGTCATGGAGCATTTTGAGGTTCAAGAACGAACCGCGAAAAACAATATTTCATTTCAAGTTATTAATGTAGTCTTACATTTTGTTAAATCAAACCTTTTTCTTATGTTCACAACTCTGTTTTTACTTCTTTTAATTGACACATATTTTAATTGACACATATTTTAATTGACACAAATTTTCGACGTTTGTCTCGCTATAGAATAAAATGTCTGTAATATTGCTTTTAACTATCGTTTAATTTAAATTTGTATGTCCACAACACATTTATATGTCTACAATGCAGTGCATTATGGTATTTGAAACATTATAACTTTAAAGTTAACCTATGAACTTTATTGAAGTTCATCGCTTTACTTTAATTTAAACACGATATATTAAATGTAACTTACTGTAAATTGAAAGCGTATCGACGTTATGCGTAACGACAAAATAATATGGAACATTTGGAATACTTAATTTACAATTTTATATCGAAATAATCTTCAATGTGTGTATTTAGTGATATGAAAGAAATCCTTTTAAACCGGCCTTCGAACAGCAGGGGCGCAATTTACATTTAAAATATATTTGTGTGTGAATGTTATTCTTTCCTGCAATAATAACGTCAAGCTCAAAGAATAACAGTTTAATCCTTATCAAGAATGTTAGTAGGCCACAAGGAAGTGTGAAATCGTGCTTTTTAATACGCTAAACATAAAAGAATTTAATTCATTTTAACGACAGAAAGATTTTCGATGTGTGAGCTTTGCGATTATCATCGAATTGTATGGTCTTCAATAACACGATTCTGTTAAAGCGAAATACATGAAAACATACAAGTAAACAATGCTGAAAAGATATAACTCTTGAAGTTTTCAGAAAACTGTTATAAGAAAAGCGGCATAGCTCTTAGTGTATTTAACTTTTAAGAAAATTTATGTTAAAAACCTTTAAAATACGTTTAAGGGTTTAAGAAATATTTTTATCCAAAAGTAACTAACTATTGTTTATTAGCATGTTTTTTTTTAAATCCTTTATATGTACTGCACTGCACTTATTTGTATTGGTATAGTCTAGCTTAGTGTAACAGGCTCGTATGATAATGGTAACTTAATCTTACTAATATTATAAATGCGAAAGCTTAGATGGATGGATGTTTGTTAGTTTGTAGCATAAACGGCTGAACAGATCTCGATGAAATTTGGAATAAACAGTCTGGGAAAAACAGGGGAACAAAACAGACTACTTGCTTTTGCTTTTTTTTTTAATCCATGAGTCTCGGACGAAAGCCAATTCGATAATTTTGTAAGTTTCCGTCCGCATACTGGCAACACTGCGCAATAAACCACAAAGCAGGTTAATGCGCTGTCAAAGTTGTACAGCCAATTATTAGGTTCATGTTCCAGATGCCTCGGTGATAATTGCTGATCTTGTACCACCAATTATTAAAGCATTCTTTACGTATCGAGCCTTAAAGTATTTTCGATAATTGAAATTGTTAAAGTTAAATTAAAAAAAAACTATAAATCCATCGAAGATTTTGTAATAATAAAATAAAATCGCGTGTGTTATAAAATTCTGTGAAATAGTACATATTAGAAATTCCGAATTTTTGCGTAAATTGTGCTGTTTAACTGTAGTTGACAGCATTTAAATTTTGGTGTGGATTTTTGAAATCCACACGTCTCCCGCGCCAAAAATTTTAACCTATAAAAAACGCATATAACTTTCGTGTTTCAAATTATTGATATCATGACGATGTCTTTTATTACCGAACTAATTTACGAATCGCATGACGAATGATTTTAAATTATTGATTATAACACTGTCTGCCCCAGATCGATAATAACGGATGCTTTCGTTAACAGATTATGACAATAAATTTTATAATGTCTTTATAAATGTTACAATACTTTGCGGTCGAACGCAACGGAACTTTGTTCCATATTGATCTGACATATTAAGGGTTGCCATTAAACGGAATTTTATTCTAAAAATCTTTGTAAACGTTACTAATTATACAAACGCGGAGATATGATAATCGTAAAAGTTTGTAGCCTCAACTGCAGAACGGATCTTGATAGAATTTTGCACATATGTAGAGGTTAGTCAGGAAGAACAAATTTAGGGGCTACCCACTTTTGTTTTTTTTAAATTTCACGCGGATGGAGTCGCGGGCGCAAGCTAGTAGAGTAATATCGTTGTATAAAGATGACTGCAAAGATAGAGGTAGATAGAAGTATAGATGGATTGTGTGAAAGAGAAAATGCGTTAGATTGAAGTGATTTTCAGATGTGACAGATGTGTGAATAAAGATGTATGGAAGAGATCATACCAGTTTTAACTAATCAATGTTTGTGTTGAAATTCAGACTATTGTCTGTAAAATTAACTGGGACTGGTAGTGCCGGCTTTAACATCTTAGCACGAATGGGCCGGCACGCCCGGTGTAATACCACGACCACACAGAAG